AAGGCAGTTCAATCTAACAGCAATTCAGTGCATTATTTGCTGCCATTGGTCCCACCTGATCTTTTGAACTCAGAGAGTTGCTTTTCAGTTCAGTCACCACTTGCTCACTGTCAAAAATCAAGCCCATCATAAGTAAGTTCACTCATCAATTATTTCCTCTGATTTCTCTGCAACAATCCTCCCACCATACCCACCCACACTTCACTTAATCTTCTTGTGTGCACATCCACAGTGAATCACAGCTCGGGTCTCCCACTCTAATGGAATTTCTTCAATGGCCCCATCAAAACCGCCCCAATGAGGCATTCACAATTTTACCACTTATATTTGAAGGAATAGCCAACCACCATTTGTAAAATCTGAATATTTCATGACATTAGAATTCTTGACTTTCTCCCACTTGAACTTGTTTCTTTTGAAATGGAGTTTTGCTCTTGTTGCCCAGGCTGGAGTGCAATGGCGTAATCTTGGCTCACCACAACCTCTACCTCCCGGGTTCAAGCGATTCTCCTGCCTCAGCCTCCCAAGTAGCTGGGATTACGGGCATGCCATGCTCGGCTAATTTTGTATTTTCAGTAGAGATGGGGTTTCTCCATGTTGGTCAGGCTGGTCTTGAACTCCCGACCTCAGGTGATCCACCTGCCTCAGCCTCCCAAAGTGTTGGGATTACAGGCGTGAGTGACCATAATCTTGTTTTTAAAACAATTACTCTAGGCTTAAAAACAAGACTTGAGCTTGTTTTCAAGCCTAGAGTAAAGGTTCTGTTCCCTCAAGCCCATCAACGAATAAACTAGGCAGCCAAAACTTTGTCGAATATCAGCTTCGCTTGTTTTCTCTCTATCACTTTCATGATATAAAGCTATTGAAGTAATACTATAATCAGACTTCACACGGCCAATCCATAAATAAAAGAGCACACAGTTGGGGGAACGCACACTGGAGGATTCTGAAGCTGACCTGGCCTATTACCCTTTACCTAGTCTTCTTTGTCTCATTCCTGACAATCATAATAATCACTGCAACAATCACAATGATTATTATTATCGGCCTTACTTAGTATTAATATTTACTTACGATGTGCCTTTTGGTTAACAATAGTTCCTACACTATCTAATGCCATGTTACTTGCTTACTTTACTGTAGTTATCCAGTGAGGTAGAATGAAGCAGCTATAAAGATACCAGCCACTGAACACTTCCATCAAGGGATCCCAGAGAAGACACATCCCCCCATTACTTGCTTCTTGGTTCATACCAAAACCGAGGAACTAAAGCATCAGCAAGGGCCCCTGGAGGTTGCTCTCATGTTAATGCCCAGAGCACTGGAGGAGCATGGTCCAATACAACATCCCATGAGGTCCTGTAGACAGGGACATGCCCTGTGTATGCACTGACCAATACAGCGTGGCGACTGTGCCCTTGGAACGTAGCTGGTGGGACAGCAGCACTCAAGTTTTGGCTGTAATCATTTTAATTAATTTAAATTGCCACACGTGGCTCTTGGCTACCAAATTCAATGCTGCAGCTTTAGATACCTGCCCACCCTATGATCTCCAGGAGTTTTTGCCTTGGTTCTTAAAGGCAGTCCTCTGATCATTCTCAAAACTCTGTCTATGATCAAAGCACCTGAGAATATCTGTAGGGAAATGCCATCTCCTGCTAAGGGGTGCACTTGCTATGTCATTGTCGCTACAGAGGAAAGGCAAAGCGGCCTCTGAGAGAACATTGTTTCTCTGCAGCTAGCAGGGGTCATTGGATTTGGAGCAGGGTCCCCAGGGGCTGGTGTGAACACACTCCAGGCAGCTAAGCCACAAGCAAAGAGCTAAAAACAGAAATTCTGAGTGGCTTGAAAGACTATCTTGAAAAACAAAAACAGGAGAATGAAACCAGTGGGTGTCTTACCAGCCTTCGGCAACCCCTGGCCAAAAAGAACACAACTAATTGCTTACTTGAAAGGAAAAGAAAAAAAAAAAAAAAGAAAAAAATATGAGAAAAACAACGAACTCAGAAAACATCCAAGGAATGTAAGTAGTTTCCACGGCCCCGCGGATCACATGGCCCATGTCAGGCACTTCGACTAGGATAGTTGCTCTCCAGCCCACCTTTCCCTTCACCCTGATGCCCCCCGTCCTTGATGGAGACACCTCCTTTCTTAAATTTCATTACTTCTGTTTGCCTGTCTCAAAAGGGGATAAAGCATATGGCACACGTTCGTGAACAGTAGGATGGTCCCCTCTGTGGATGGCAAGTGTGGCACAGAACAGGCTTTTAGGGTTGACTCCACGGGCGCCAGCCGCTCCGAACCCATTAGCAGTTGCTCTGCCCCCGACCAAGCCAGCTGCTTCCCTTCTCCCCAAACCCCTCAGGGCCTCCCCCCTTTTTTGTTCCTAGGAAGAAGAAAGGACCACCGTGAACAGAAAGGGCTTTCTCTCCTCTTTTGCTTAAAGCCCAATATCGAGCTTTGTAAGGAGAAGGAAAAGGGGAAATACAGAGAATGGTTCATAAAATCATCAGAGGAGAGAGGGAAGGGGTCTGGGAACAATATGATGATATTGTTTCCTGGAGGCAGGTTACAAGTGCCACTTTCCCAAACTTCAGGGATTCCTCTGGAATAGGAAAATAATTATTTTCCCTTTCAATATCTTAAGGGGGAAACAACATTAGATTTGACAGTTCCTTATGGCCCTAATTTTCTCTCTGTCCCCATCCATTCAGCCAAAGGTTGGACTTCTGCCCACTTTGTGAGCTTGCTCTGAAAAGCCCTCCCAAACCACAGGGTGTAATGAATCAACTGGAAGGAGGACAAAGACTAGAATTCCCAACCAGTAGCAAGGGTCAGACGTAGGGGCTTTCAGGTGAAGGGATGAGGGGGAGGTGGTGGTGAACGGGTGAAGAAACAGAGGTCCAGGCCAGGGTCAAAGGGAGGTCACTTAACTCTCCTAGAACTGTGACTCAGTAATTGGTGGCCTTGTGGCCTGGGTAGGGCTGCCCTCAGACACTCCCAGAGAAAATATGCTTAGAAGAGTACAAGGGACGAGGCCTGCATCATTAGAATGAACCTGAGGACAGACACTGGGTAAGAGCCACCCAAGCTCCCCAGCCTGCAGAGGGCCCAGGCTATATATTCTTTTATTCAAAGCGCCTTTGCTGAGATACATAACACACACACACACACACACACACACACACACACACACACACGCACAGAAACCACAAACACATTCATGCACACACACATTAACACTAGAAAATGCACACCTACACAGACCCCACAAACCTTCTTTACATTCGAATAAAACATGGGGGTTGGGAACAACCCTGAATTAATTGGATGCAGTCTCAAAGGAGTGGAAATGAAATGAAAAATCCAGGCTGTGTTATAAAAATAAGTATTTTTTCCCAACGTGCAGGAGGCTCATTATATTAATTAAACATTATTGCAGTGAACAGAGAAGGGAGGGTGATGACGGCTGGCCGGGGTAAGTGTTCTCTCCTGTTGCCTGAGGCCATGGTGATCTTCAGATATTAATCTCTCTGAGCACTCAAATGCTGAAGAGATAAACACTTGAAATATGAAAATGTTTTTCTCCAGATCAGGCACTGTGACCCTCCGGGGAAGCAAGTGTGGGCTGTGTCAGGAGGCTCCAAGTGCCCTCCTAGTGTCTGAGGGGACATGCCAGTGCTTGGGGTGGGAAGCAGTTCTAAGGAAGCCTGCAGAAGGGAAGACCGCTTCCCCCTTTTATTTTCTAGCTTTTCCCCATTGAACCCTGTCAAACTCATCTACTAAATTTCCAGAATTCACCCCTCTCTTCTCCAATGCTTATGGAGGTCTCAGGCCCAGGCCAGAGGTACGGAATTCAAAGTCACTGAGTGCTGTGCCGGAGCTGAGGTGTACCAGCCTGTGACAGCTTCTTGCCAAATGTTTTGCAAGCCCGTTGTTAAATGTATTCATTAGTAAAAATTACATAAAGCTATAATTCAATACATTGTATTAAAAAATAATGGTAACAAATCCTCTAAACCCAACACTTCCTAGTTATCTTAGCACATTTTATCAGTATCTATACTTCTGGAGTCATTTCTGTCTACTGTATTTGCATGATGGGAGAAAAACACTATATAATGCCCTATCACTGACTTCTCAACTCCGTCTCCAGTGATGTTGTGTTGGTCACTTAAGTTGAACCATGGTGAGAGTATTTACACTGCTGAAAGTCACAAACATTAAAAAGCAGGTTTTGTTTTCTTTTTTAAATCTCTGGAACGCCTATTGTTAAACATTTACCACCATACTGCTGTCAAAGCCCCTAACAGTGGAGACAGCAGACAACTCTTGCTTCTACCTGTTTAGAAGGGCTAGAGGCAGCCCCTTCTTGTCAGCAGTGCCAGGAAAGGCTTCTGAAACCTGGCTTTCTGAAACTAAAAGGGTGGGCTTAACAATGTATCTAGGACTTTCAGCAATACTCTTCCAGAGGCCAAGTGCCAGGCAGCTCTGCTGGATACTCATGGGCATGGCAGCATTCTGGCCTGTCAACTTGACTTGCTATAGAAGCAATGGCACCCAAAGAGATGTGTCAGCCAGGTTCAAGGCCAGTGGTCTCCCAATGAGCCATTTTAGGAACAGTACCCAGCTTGAAGTTGACAAGGAGCTCTGTGATAGTGGCAGTGAGTGCTGGCTATGGGAACAAGAGGACACTGACTCGCTCCATCTCCTAGGGCCCCCCAATTACCCCTTCTTTTTTTGTCTTCTTTCTTCTATCTTGGCTTCCCCCTGTTCCTCCCAGCTTCCAGGCTGTGCTGTAATCACAGGAGAGGCTGGAAACCACCAACTGGCTGTTCTGTGAGGTGACGTCTTGAGCAAAGACTGTGGTGGTTTGTGGGCAAAGAACAGAGGATTTCTCTGCGGTGGGAAGTTATGAGGCTTATGAGGGAATCTGGGGTTGAAGAATGTGGAACAGGCTAGCCTTAACTCTTTCATCTCTTCACTCACGGCTGGCTTACCTGGAAACGTCCGGTCGTTCGGGCTGGAGCTGCTGGCCCAGGTGGTCCGAAGCCACTTGGCATGGTCATACATCCAACCACAGGGCTCCTCGGGGAAATCAAAGTTGCAGTTGAATCCCGAAGGGAGCTGCAAATCTTTGTCTAAAAGGGGAAAAAAATAACCCAAAGGAAGGCAAATGAAGTGGGTTCAGAGAACAGCCACAGTGGTGCTATTTAAATGGCTGGCAAGGCCTGAGTGGAGAGCAGAGAAAGAAGCAGCTTCCTTTGCTTATTCATTTAACTCATCTTGGCGATCGCTGGCTTTCGGGTCAGGCTTTGGTCTCATCCTTCCCAGGCATGAAAGCCAAGTCTGCCAGTGGTTCCCATAGTAAGCAATTATAAATGAGGCCACCAAATGGCTTCAGGCTCTAATCGGCCTCTTCTGTCCACCTCGGAGGGCGGACAAATGTGAAAATTGCTGTTCCCTAAATGCCAGAGAAGAATGTCTCCCCAGTGCCTTGGTGGAAGGCTGGCTCCCAAAAAAAGTATTATCTCATCCCCTGCCAACCTGGCTCTCAGAGGAGATGGGGTGGCCCATTAGCATCCAGAGAGACTGAAATGCCTGGGAGGTTCTGCCCAGTGAGGAGAAAGTGACCTCAGAAACAAGGAAGGCTTGTTTGCTACGCTTCACCTCTTTGTGATCCGTCTCTATTTCTGAAGACGGGGACAGTTCAGCATCTCCATGGGGAGGTATGCCCGGTGGGAAGTTTGGCATGTTAAGAGCAAATCGAAGGGGCCAGACCAGCCAGCCACTCAGCTCAGCACTGACCAGGAGGAAAAATCATTTCACATCGTGCTGAATCCCTGGAGGCTGCGACCCCAGGGAGGTGGCGAATGCTTTCCCCATGGGAATCTAAGAACTAATGACACAATGGTGTCCTGTCTGCTTTGGTGGTTCACCTGCCTAAGCCTGAAGACAGAAGCAAGAGAGTTTCTTCTGAGGTTCCACCCAGCTCCAAAAATCCATTATGAGCTCATGCCAAGTATGTGACTAAGTGGAGGTGGTGTGGAGGTGGGGAAAGAGGAAATGGGAACCCAAATTTGGATGTTTGTCGGCAGTGGCTGCGGAGACAGCGGAAAAATGCTGGCCAATGCTGGTAGCAGGGAGGAAGTGGGGTCTCTGCCCTTCTCACTTCCCTTCCCAGGGTTCTTAGAGAGGAATTTCCGTGGGGAAGGCTCAGAAGGCAGGTTAGGAAGTCTAAAGGGAGCCACAGACTGGTAGAAACAAATTACTCACCATAGGGGTGAGGAGGGCTCACCTCTTGGGGGGCAGGGCACTGCTGGCGTCAGAGGGAGGAGGAAGATTGCCACCAGGCCCTGTGAATGCCTCCCCTTTCCAGGACAGGATATCTAATGTTTGCCCACCCTTGGCCAAAGTCAGCTTGAGTTGAGAAGAAACACATGGAATCTATTACAGAAGCATCAACCTGTGGCTTGGAAAAGCCAGGCCTCAGCCCTTACTATCCCCTTCTCCCAACAATTTCTGAATTTCTATTTTTCCCCTCCAAAAATATGAAGTAATTCAATACAGCATAATTCCTCTGTAATGTTTACATGCATACTCTATCTCAGGAACCAAAGCCTACAAAAAAAATCTTTTGTGAAAAGAGAAGGGAGGAACCATCAAAGAAACCTCAAATGAAACAAACCACCATAAACGGGAAAATCATATTAAAAATAAACTTCTGAAATTCTGCAGCAGAATCTTTAATTTTTCCTTTGATTGTCGTTTAGACAGAACCTCCACTCCAGGTTCCCCAGCAAGCTAACTCTGCAAATCCAGTGTTGTGTCTTAACTCCCCATGCGTTCCACTTTTGGCTCTCAAACTATCTGAAGCATGTCTTGGAAGATTCTCCAACTCTCCTTCTTCTCTCCATAAAACAAAAACAAGTTCATTAAAATGTCAGAATTCTGTATTCAACTAACCCTGACCAACAGCGTCCCCCACCCACACAATAATACGAAAGCACAGTCCCAAAAGCATATGAATTAAATTATTGCTTTTTCATTCACATAACTTCAGCATTTATTTCTGGCTTTTCTCCCATTCTTCTTTGTAGCCGTTTTCTGCAGTCCTCCAGCCCATCAGTGCAGTTTCTCTGCCTGTCAAATGGCTGTGCTTGCAGGTCCAGGGAGTCCGCCATCTACCTACCTCTTTATGTCTCCATCACTTCTCTAGTCTCTGCCAATCTTCCCTCATTTTGTTTAATGAACATTTAGTAATGATCACTGATTTACTGTAAGTTGAGGCTATCAAGTTTAACATTCCAGCCAAAATGCCAGGTGTTCCAAAATTTGTGGTTTATTAGAAATGTCCTCTTACTTGGTGACCTTAGCAGTGTGATTTAAAATGTGACTTACTTTTGGGTTCTGCCAATTATTGTTTTTATCTAACTTGGATATGCTCCAAAGATAAATGAAAGGAATGTAGATTTCCCATGTGATGAGACCCATCCAGAAATACAGAGCCCCTGAGTTTTGAGGGAATGGTGGAAGATGCCTTTTTACATTTCTGCCTTTGTCTCTCGTGTGCACTCTAGTTACAGAGGATACAATGTGCTTTTTTTTTTTTTTTTTTTTTTTTTTTTTTTTTTTTTTTTTTTTTTTTTTTTTTTTTTCTTTTTTTTCTTCTCTTTTTTTCATGGGTAAGTGATGCTGCTAAATGCACTATCTCATAGAATCATCACTGTTATACTTTTCAAATTAGTGGCAGCAAAAGACACAGGGAAACACAATTAAGCCACAGTTAACTGCTGAATTAACCCAACTATTGTGCTCCATGGACCAAATCACCCCGATGACTGCCATATCTTCACTTGGCTGTAGTACACAGACACAGCTTCACAGGAAAAACTATCAGAGCTGTTAATTCTAAGGATGAGAATGGTTTTCCTTCAGCAGACAAGCAAGATAGTGAGGCCTCAACAAATGAGACTTTTTAAAGGAGGAAGAGTTCTCTTTGGAGGCATCCTTGTCTCACCTGAGGTCTGGGTTCACACCAGTAGGGCTGTACTGGTTGTTACCCTATCTGAATGCTTCTACATTGGTTGTAAATAGCCACTGTCCCAAACCCCTGAGTGTCCCCATCTCTCTTACCCTTTCCCTGAGATTCCACTGGATCTCTGACCCAGGGGACCCCTAGGTCCCTGCCCAGCCACAGGCCAGCTCCCACTCTAACTAGTCCCCACCCATGCCATCTGGATGCAGGATGTGCTTACCATCCTCAAAGCTGCAGTTCTCCCCACAATCCGTGGCCTCCTCCTCGATGGGATAGGGGGTGGTTGTCTCTTCGCTCTTCACGGTGGATCCCAGCGTCTCTACCGTGGGCTTGGAGTCTGTGTAAGGGCAAAGGAAGAGAAGTGAATGCTGTAGCAGCCTGTGTTGCAACCCAGCAGGAGGAAGATGCCAAAAATGAAGCGTGGGCTTTTAGAAAAGGCAAAGAAGAGGCACACATGTGCACAAAGCTCTGCAGCCACATCTTTGTGTTGTGAATGAGGTCGGGGGCATCACCCGAGTAGAATGAGAATGGTCCTGGGTTGCAGAACCAGCAGTGAGAGAGGTAGGGACACAAACCCACGTTCTTTACTCCATGGCAGAGGCCTGGAGGCTAGCACAAACTGCCACGTGAGACAATAATGGAGGTGGGTGACAGGCGACGCTGACTCCAAGGAAGGACGAAAGCATACTCTGGTTCATGCTTGCACAAAACTGGATGGACGGGGTTATGGATGGGTTCAGACTCTACATGGTGAAAGTGATTTGGGGCTATGCCTTTAGGTCAGGGTGGCAAATTCAAATGTTTCCTGGATCCAAACACCTCCTGTAAGCGAGGAGAGGAGAGGAGAGGAGACACAGGTGGTGGGGGCAGGGGAGGGTTGGAGAGAGAGGAAGTGGTGACAGCTGTGATCATGCATGCCTGGTTTAAAGGAGGCCTCCATGACTGGCTCGAGCAGGTTGGTTCCTGGAGGGAAGGTGGCCCAGAGTGCCCAGGCCAGGTCTTCCAAATATTTCCTCCTTTCCTTCCCCCAACAAGAAGGCAAAAATCCATATGTGAAATCTCCAGACTTTAAAAGTTGGTAACTTATTAAAAATGTTGTACTAAGAAGCATGCCATGAACCCTGGCTAGGCCAAACCTGGCTGCAGGCAGTGGGCTCTGACCTCAGCTCTAGGTGATTCATTCACCTATTCATTTGCTTATTTGCTCATGCCCATCATTCATCCAGCAACTATGGAGGGAGTGAATGGAGCTATGAGTCAGGCCCTGGGTGGGGTGAAAGGGGTTCTAGAAACCTGTGCTCAAGTCCACATGTTTTGGGGTGGTGTCTTCATCCCAGAGCTGTCCTTCCACAAGACGACAGTGCCTTGTCCCTCTCATTTCTATAGATGCTCCTTTGCACTATTGTATGTGATTAGGCGCCTTTGTCAGGCACCCTTCAGGATACCATTTAATAAAAGCAGGAGCTGGAGGAAATTGCTAAATACACTGAATAGCTTTTTCACGGTCGACTTCCCACCTTTCTGCTATTAAATACTACGCACATAACCTTTTATACTTCCTGCTGCCGTGTCTGCCTCTTGCTCACAGTAAATAGCAAATAACCTCGAAGCGTCCTAATTTGTAAGTTCAAATTTGTCACTGTGTCATAGAAACTCAATTGTAAAGCAAACTACAGGTTGGGAAGGCAAAACATAATTATTTGAAACACAAACAAACCAACGGACAGGTGAAGCAGCCCTGTGAAATTATTTAGCTGCAGCAGCTTGTCCCAGCCCATTACTTTTCCTGTTATCCTTTGGGATAGGGATGAAGAAGTGAACCAAGGATCAGTGGGAGAAACAGATGGAAATTTGAAAAGCAAACATAGCCACGAGACGTACGGGGAACAGTTTCTGGAAATGTTAGGTAACAAAATGGGTCAGCTGATTGGTGTAGAGAATGTTAAGCCCAGGGGCCAGTGAGGCACCAGAGGGCAGGGCGTGTAAATGAAAGTGGAGGTGCGGCGGGTCCGGAGGCCTCGTGTTTATACTGTTTGTACTCTGTTTGTACTGGGCGCTCCGAGGTAACTGCCCATCAAACAGCAGTGCTCCCCTTGAAATTGAAACCAGATGTCAGAGACTTCAAAGGAAAGGAGGCTGGGCAGAGGGTAACGCTCCTCAACTCTGATCTTCCAAGGAATGGCCAGACAGAGCTTTGAAATGAGAAACCTGTCACTGACCATCACCGGTGTAATTTGGGGCAGGTTGGGGTTGGGGAGCAGTGAGCAAAAGAGGTCATTAGCAACTGTCCCGCTGGCCAGACTGGGAGGGCGCGGCATCGAAGGGCAAAGGATGGGGGGAAGAATGAGGTGGCCTTCAACCAGCTGAGTGGCCTCTGGCAAGTGGCTTCCACTCTCTGGGGAGCAGATTCCACTCTCCTTGTCTATGAAAGAGGAATTGGCCCAGGTCTGTGATATTTTCCAAACCACGCATCACTCTCATCGTGGGGTTGTAGAATCCATTGAAGAGGTCATGACCAGCATTTAAACATATCGATTATAATATTTTGGAGTGCACTTCCATGGCTAAGATGACCATTGCTTTGGGAACCTTTTGTTTCAGTCACATGTGCTTATCATAACAGGTTTGCTGGGTGCCTGGCAGTAGTCTAAGCACTTCATATCCATTCATTCATTTAATCCTCATAATGACCCTAGGGCAGGTGTAGATAGACAACTGTCTATCTAGTTTTCAGCTGAGATAACCAAGGCGCTGAGAGACTGACTTTTCCGAGGTTATGCAGCCAGCAAATGGCAGGGGCAGGACTTGAACTTGGCAATCTGTCTCCAGAGTCCAAGCACTTACCAATATACCGTACCCGCATGTACAACTGTGTGTGTGTGTTTATAGGTGAAGCAGGTTGTGAAGGAAGTTTATTTTAAATTGTGTATCATGGGCAGAAACGTGTGAAAGCCACTGGCTTAGAAGCTCCTGGATCCCCCACAGCACTGAGGCCAATTCCAGTGCAGTCACAAATGAAGCCAGCTTGTGGGGGAGGTTTTCCACACCTGCGAGAGGACAGGTGACACACATTTAGCAGGCTGCAGGGAACTTTGGCCTCCTCCCCAGGTAATGGGGAGTAAAGTGTCTTCCTACGAAGATGTGTTCGCTGGGGCTGCCTTCAATTCAAAAGTGAGGAGGCTAATTTGGGCCGATTTCCCAGCCCGTGGGCCTCAATGGGGCTTCTCTGCGCTGCCGTAGCCAGTATACAGGCAGCATTTTTCTCCCTAGGAGCCAAAAGGACTTCTTCGACATGCCCTTATTAATCCTTCACACCATTCTGCTGGCTGAGCCCATGACAGGTACGGCACAGACAGGAAAATAGGGATACCTGGGGCCCTGGTGGAAGAGGGCAGGGTAGCTCAGGCTGGCGGCTGCTCTGGTGGCCCTGAGCCCCAGTGGCTCCCACGAACTCCTTTTGGCAGGCGTGAGTGAGCACCGAGTAAGAGCTGGTGCCAGCTCTGCTGAGGGAGGAGGGCCGGCGCCCGGAGGAAAGGAAGGTGGGGCGTGACTCAGAAGGGCAGGGCCCTCCCTTGGAAACCAGGAAGGGTGGGCACCCTCAGTGGGCCTCACCCTTATTTGGGAGGATGAGAGGTGTTCCCCGAGGCGTGGGCCACCTGGCAGGAATGAGCAGGACCCTGAGAAGGAGTCCTGCCTGCATCAGCTCCCTGCAACAGGGTCCCTCCCGAGCAAATAAATGCCTTTTACAGATGTGGCTCTGAAATGAAAATGAAGTCTCTTAGCCACTGACATCTGGAGTCCAGATTCAGACATAAACCGATTACTTTATTATCATGAGGTTTTTTTTTCATCCCTAAATCAACAGCCACAGCCCTCTGGCCTGAAGAGCTAGGGTCTAATTGAATTTGGGTGGGTGGTGTGTGGTTATGATTTGTTTCTGAGAGACTCGAGTTGGAGAACTGAAATGATTCTTTAAAAAAGACAAAGTGCATCCCTTGAGAAACTGTCCTGAGTCCAGAGGCTGCGGTACCCTTGGTCTGAGGCAGGAGAACACGGCAGGGGTCTGCAGGTTTCCAGCTCCTGGGATGGCTGCCCTCTCCACACCCCTCCCAGGGCCTCGTGGGATGCCAGGGTCAGTGGACCATGTGGGTGAGATGCAAAGAGAAGGAAGTGTAGTCTCACCTGTCCAGTCACAGCCCAGCACCTCCAGTCGCATCCCAATCCCCGCCGGCGACCACCGCTCCGGGTATACCCGCACATACTGCGCCGGGATGGGGTCGAACCTTCGGATGTCAGGGGTGTCGTAGTGCATGTTCCCTTCGAACAGCTGCAGCGAGAGAGGCCACTCAGCCCTCCTGGTGTGGGACCCACTGCCTATCACCTTCCTCCCTTTCCTTCCCCTTCTCCTCTCTGCCCCGTGCCTCCAGCCAGGAAGGCAGCTTCCTGGGTGATTCCTGGTCACTGGGACATTCCAATCCACAGAGGCTTCATTATCAGACCAAGGGTTTTATTCATTTGGCAGATAGTTAGAGACCCAGAACTATGGAAAATAGGGAGTAAACAAAGGTGGCAATTTCCAGGTTGTGTCTTTTACCTGGTGACTGAAATGGGGTATCTGGGAAGAATTTGGCTCCAAATGCATTATCAGCTGACCTTGGCTAGAGAGGGGGTGCAGCGTGGGCAATCTTTGAACTGCTCCAAATTCCTGGTCTACCGAGAAAGGAACTCTCCTTTTTCTAATGTGTGAAAGCCTTGATTGAGGTAGCCCAAGCTGACTGATTGTTCCTAACTCACTGAGCGCCTGACGGGAAAATGATCCCTTTCTTTTCTAGGCCTCTGGTCACACATCGATAGTCTTAGACTGTTTCCCAAAACTTTGTTTAGGGAATGCACTCCTGTCAAAAGAAACCTCACATGGAGTCCCAGTACATAAAACTGATGACGCGGGGAACAGGGGTTGCTTTGGTGGAGCTGGATGGAGGACCAGCCTAGAGTACACTTGCAGACACTCATCCAGGGGAAGGACAGGAGTAGGGCGGCCAGGTCCTGCGGCTGATTAGCCCCCAGGAATCCTGCAGGACCACTCCAGTTTTCAGGATGCCCTGGGTTCACAATTCTGAACTGGAAGCACTGTCTCGGATAGGGCTGTCTCTGACAATGGCAAAGATCAACTCCTTTCCCAAGAAGAACCAGGCTCAGCTCTCCCTGGGGAAGCCTGTGGTCCAACTTCTGCTCCATTGATGCAAGGTTCCAGTGACCGAGCCCTGAGCTTTCCCAAGCCTCTGGAATTGGGAACTGGGGGTTTACCTCGGCATCACAAAACCTCCAACCCAGCTCTTGCCTCTGTATTCAGAATGGAAACATTTGCTTGGCAAAGGTGGCCAAGAGACAGGCAACACTCCTTTCTTTTTTAGGAACCTCTTCTTTTAAGAAAAACAAGAGGTAACTAGAAATAAGAATCAGAGAGCCTGGCCCGCCAGGAGACAGAGGCATGATGCCTCCTCCCCTTCTGGGACTCTTTGTGTCTATGTTGAAGGCTGGTCTTCACTCTGGTGGCAGGAGGGTAAGCTGCACTAGCCTGAACTTTTGGCTTGGGGTGAGTTTCTCTTGCTTCTCTCTTGCCTCAGTTTGAGAGGCAGGAAAGATCTAAGCAGTCAAAACTAGGAGAATACAAAGGAATGCAGCGACATTCAGAAAAACATCATTATTTTTGGAAGTAAACCTCTAGTTTCTATAGCTTGGCCTCCAGAAACCACATCCCCTTTAGATGTCTGGCCAATTTCAAGGAAACTTTAGCTGAAAGAGTGTATAAAGAGTGTTGAACTTTATACAAAGGCAGTGTTCAGTGGTGGTTAGGCATTTGGACTTTGGAGTCAGACTTCTGATTTCTGAATCGGCTCTACCACAGGTGAACTGTGTGACCCTGGGCATGATGACAAGTGTCAGTTTATCATCGCTAAAATGGGAGTGACAAAAAGATCTACTTTGCACACATGTTGTGAGGATTAAAAAAAGGGGTCCAGGCCAGGCATGGTGGCTCATGCCTACAATCCCAGCACTTTGGGAGGCCGAGGCAGGTGGATCACTTAAGGTCAGGAGTTCGAGACCAGCCTGACCAATATAGTTGAACCCCATCTCTGTTAAAAGTACAAAAATTAGCTGGGCGTGGTGGCATAGCCTGTAATCTCAGCTCCTCAGGAGGCTGAGGCAGGAGAATCACTTGAACCCAAAAGGCAGATGTTGCAGTGAGCTGAGATTGTGCCACTGCACCCCAGCCTGGGTGACAGAGCGAGACTTCATCTCAAAAACAAACAAATAAACGAGAGTCCAAATAACATATTTAGCATAGTGTCTGGCACAAAGTTATCTCCCAACTGGTATTTGTTTTATTGGATTTCAGGAGTTGGATGATAACTGTTTAGATGAGACATCAGCATTCTCAACTCCCTGCAGCCTGCTTAGCCTCCTAGTTGAGGGTAAGGTTACAGAGGCCTCCAAGAACAGCCTACCTTTGGCTGCTGGGTCCTGGGGTCCTGAATGTATTCCCAGTCATTGCCGTTTAGGCTGTAGGAGACTTTGAACTTGCGTACAAACGCCCTGGATTCCCCTGCGGTGATGCTGTCTCCTCCGCGGGCTCCCTGGATGATGACACCTTTTACCGTCTTGGGTGTTCCCAGATCTACCTGAAGCCACTCCTCACCCGGCTGGGCCTGAGGGACTCGAGGGAACCAGCCCGAGCGGCTGCTGACCAGGCGGGCTGCACTGGGGCTCCAGAGATAGTCGTGGATGGAAGAGGCAGAGATCTGGGAGTCTGCAATGAGGCCTGAGAGCATCCCCAGCATGTTGGAGCAGGGGGCATCTGTAGAGAGGAGAGGAAGATACCAGAGGTCATGGCTGACACTTGCTAACCAGGGACTACTCTCCATAAGGAGGAAGCTGCAAAAGAGCCCAACTGTCAAGTATTAAGTCAGCATTGATTTCTTTGCATGGTGAATGTGTGTAGCACTGTGGTTACGAGCCTGGATTTGCAGCTAGACTGCTTTGTTCGTGTTCATGCTGCCACTTATAGTCAGATGACCTTGGGCAAATTATTTAATTGCTCTTTGCCTTAGTTCCCTTAGATCTAACGGGGAGCTAATAGAGGTGCCTACCTCTTGGGGGCTGCTGCAAGGATTCTGTTAGTTGCTATCTAATAGCTCATAGGACAGTGCCTGGCATATTTAAGTATCCAATGGCCATTAACTGTGCTTACAGCTCTAACCAAGGACTCTCAGAATGTATGTCTGCACATCCCTGTGGATGACACTAGTCCCCACTGACCCTCTTAGGGACAGCGAGCACAGGGGAACTCAGCTAAGCATTGAACTATTTCCTAGTGATCTTTTGCCAAGTAGAAGGAAACCTTCCTGGCGTCAGTATCAGCTCTTTACTTCCATATGTGTTATCACTGCTCTTTCCTGCCTTGGATCCTTCCCACACTCTGCTCCCATGACCCAAAACGCTTTTCCCTTCAGTCATCCCCAGACTAACATTCACTTACCCCCAAGCTCAAGCGTCATATCCACAGAAAGGCTGTACCCAGATTTTCAATCCACACTAAATTGGTTTCACTCAGAGCATCCTGCTCTTTTTCATCATACGCTTGTTCTAGTTTATCCAGTACTTGTGTTTGTTTATTATCTATCATGCTCACTAGCCTGAAAGTTCTATGATGTCAGAGACCCCATCTATTTTGTTCCTGTCTCTGTGTCCCATTCCCAGTGTGGGCCTGGCACATCAGATGTGTGGAGCAAATGACTGAGTGGAGAATGTATGAATAAATGATGTCAGGCAAGGCAGGGTCTATAGTCAGTGTGCATTACATCCTTGCAAACTGAGCTATGGATAAAAAAGATCCAGGTCGTCTCCCTTCTTCAAAATTACTGGTTCTCTCCTTTCAGTCTTCCAGAGAATAAGCTTTACCTAAATCTTTGCTGATTAGCCTGGAACAGCAACAGGAAAGGGACAGAAAATAGCCCCCTAGACAGGATTATTATGAACTGATCCCATTCAAAGAAAACAGGGTCTTTGTGTAAAGGTGCTAAGAGCAGAGAATTTGAATTGAGAAAATGTGGCTTCAGATCCTGGCTCTGTCACCTCCTAGTTGGGTGACTTTGGGCAAGCTATTTAGCCTCTTTGAGTCTAGGCTTCCTCATCAGTCCCTCGCCCACCTTACCTCACAGGATTGTTGGAAAACACAGGCAAGATGATGAACAAGAAAGTCAGGTGGAGGAGCAGAGATGGCGCAAACACAGGTGTTTTAACTAGAAACCTCAAACGGGGTCACACCTGGAGCACTCCCTGTCAGGGCCGGAATGATTAGGGGAAAGACAGGTGGTTGGATGTCCACTGAATGTCTTCCAGGTCAAAGAGGCAACGTGCTGGCCCTGGGCTGAGCCCTTAAGATAAAGGGGATTGGTCTGTCCATAAATGTCTGGGGCTGATCCAGCCATCACCATCTCCCATCTGCACCCCCTGCATTAGCCTCAACTCCCGCTCTGGTCTTCTCCAATCCACACACCTTGGGTTTCAGCCCATATGCTGTGTCTATGCCCCTCACCTTTTCTTTTGGTCCCTCTTGCCACAGTGCCATTGAGAAAGTTGACCATTGCCTGGTGTGCTTTCCCTCCCCTCTTCACTAGGTCATGTCTGTTATCTGCCTTCTAACCTCACCTCAATCATCAACTCCTCAAAGAAGTCCTCCTTGAGCCCCTAGACTGGGTCAAATCCCCTGCAAGCCTCTATTTCCAGACATTGATCATAGTTTTGATTTTACATTTATTTATGAGTTTATCAGTATGTCTGTCCAACTTGTCCATATGCCCACATAGAACTGAGCCTGTTGTACCTACCATTGTATCCACAGTACCACGCATAGCTCTTGGCCTCTGGTTGAGGCAGCAGGGAGTGTTATTTGAAAGCAGGGGTTTTGGACTGAAACTACCTAGATTCAAACCATGGCTCTAGCTCTCTAAGTCTTGGTTTCGTCACCTGTAAAGTGAGGAGAATAATACTTATAGAGTCCTTATGAGGATAATAAAAGATGTTACATCTAACGTGCTTAGAATGAAATATGTACATAGTTACCATTCCATAAATGTTAGCTATTAATAGTAGAAATCGTAGATGCTTAAAAAATATATGCTGAATGAAATATTTCCTAGTAATTGTTTTGCCAAGTAGAAGAAAACTCCTGGTGTCAGTATCAGGTCTTTACTTCATATGTGTTATCACTGCCCTTTCCTTGCCACATGCTGTTCCCATAACCCAAAATGCTTTTCCCTTCAGTCATCCCCAAACTAACATTTACTTACCCCCAAGCTCAAGTGTCGTATCCACAGAAAGGCAAATGAATGAATAAAAGGACAAACTCTGGTAGAACTTGAGTCCTTGAGCCAGTCTTTCTGGGAAGGTCATGTAGTATAGTCATGCTGTTTGCACAGAGTTGAAAGGGGGCAGAGCCTAGGACTCAATCAGCACCCCAACCTCGCTGGAGCCCCCACCTCACCTGTGACCCGGCAGCCGAAGAGCTCCAGCCGGAGGGCGATGCCTGAGTGCCAGGTCTGAGGGCGGATCCTAACAAACCTTGTCAGCAGCGGAGCGTGGAGCTTGTTCAGAACCACCTCAGTTGCATCGTTGTTAGCTTGAAATACCTGTAGTGTAAGATGCAAAACCGTCTTACTGAAACTGCTGTTTGTAGCTCAGCCACTTGAGCAGTCTTTGAAGGAGATGGGAAAGTTCTGTTGAATTTTCTTTTTATCAAGCTTGAAAATAATCCATGGGTGTGTTGTTTTGGGCTTTTTAAAGAAATACTGTAAAAAAATTATTTTCTCACACTGTTCTCACTTGAAAATAATCAGTGGTCTTCCCAGAAACTTTTAGAGGGAAGCAAGGTTTTGCCTCTGGGCTGAGAGCAGGTAGAAGAAGGAAAACACTTGAAAAGCTAAGGAAGAGAGAGAAAAGTGGAACATTCATTTAAAATGAAGTAAAAATGTCATCTTTTAGGGCTACCAGACCTCACTCACTAGCTTGAACTTGACACTCTCTCTTCCTTATGTTGCAGGCATCTAGAAATATTTGCAGAGTATTTTATAATTGTTGTTTTTGTTAGTTACCTGATGCCATGCCACCCATGAGTGAGTAAGACGATGAAGGGGTACCCTCTACCTAAATGGCCCTACGTCAGTGAACACTTTCTTGGTTCTCTCTGATCTTTGTGGTAGGTCAGGGTTGCAGACAGTCCTTCAGAGTCCTACTCCAGCTTCCTCTTGCTGTAGTCCCACCCTGTAATGAAATCCATCCCTGTCCCCATCTGACCAATACATCTCTTATGGGAGGGAAGGCTTTTTGAAACAGCTTCTGATCCAACATGGTGGGAGCAAGTCCTGGCTTTCCAGATGGCCCAGATCAATAACTGCCATATGGACCTTATGCTTTTTTGTGCTCTCTGTTAAAAAAGTAACTGGAGCAAAGTATATGTGAGTTTCTCTTGGTTTTCTTGAATAAGGGTAGAGGGAAAAACCAACTAACCAACCATCACTTCTAAATCATACCTGTTATAGCTATAACAACCAAGGGACTCTGTAAATCTGCGTATAGCCAACTCTGCAACCATCAGCAATTTCTTCTGCTTAGGAGAACTAGATGCTTCGGCTCCTGATATTCAGGGCACGCCAAGTGTCTGGGGGCACCAACAGGGCTGAGACAAGAGGACTGGGTAAACTGGTATATTTGAAGACTTTTCAGCCAGATGCAACAAAATACCTTTGAGTATAATCAATTATGTCTATAATATCCCAGGAGGTAGGCATTATTATCTCCACTTCATTGGATAAGAAAACTGAGGTTCAGAGTGCCTGTCTGGATCCAACATCCTTGCCAAGTTTTTGGGCTTTAAGCTTATAGTTTCTTAGATGGACTCATTTCTTCGCAAACTTGCAGATTTGTGTTAGTGGCTGGGGGTCTTGGGGCTCTTAAAGTCTCCAGGCATGGGCTGAATGGAAGTAGGGTCACCATCCAGTGATGTGTTCCCAGTGTGAGTTTATAACCCCACCTTAGAATGGCTCTGAGTAATGGCAAAGAGCAGCAGAGATGTCTAGAGCTCATCGACGACACAGTCCTCTCTTCCCCATGAAGTGTGAACTCCATCATTTAACAACCCTACCTGCTCGCTATGGTTAAAAGTTAGAGCAATTTAACAACACACCACTGAAGACACCATACGTTTTGCAAGTAAATGATGGGAAGTATCTGCTGAAGACAAAAAGGGAAGCCGATTTTTGCTGGTCCACCACATTCAGTTTAAACCTTTGCTCTGGAGCTAAATCTACCATATCTAGGGATGCCCCCAGCCCACTCAGCTTGCTGCTCCCTCCCCTCCTCTGGGAAGTCCTCCCACCTGGGTCGTAAGGTTGGCAGCAGGGAGCACCGAGGAAGAACCTGTTGGTCACTTCTCTCTCCCAGGTTCGATTTTGCTGCTTCCTGTACAGTGATTGCAGGTGAGGAGGAATAAGGAGAATAAGTTAGCAAGGAAAGAAGAAGAGCCCAGGAAATGGAAGGAAAGAGAGTTAGGGCCAGATACCCTGGAGAAGGCCCAAGGGGAGCGGTGCCTGACCCTGCTTCCTTCGTACTGACACAGGGCTCCCCAGCTCTCAAGAAAGGGATAGGGGAGCTACATCCAAGAAAAAGAGATTCATCAGTTCTCTGAGAATTCAGCATGAGGCAGAGGCTTTCTGTTTGTTTTTGTTTTGTTTTGTTTTGTTAAGGAAGAAGCAAATGCAGCACTTTGCTTATTTCTGACGGGTGCTTTGAGCAGCAGGGGAGTCGGGGAGCGGGAGGGCGGCGGGGTGGGGCTCCACTGGCCTGCTCTCTGAAGATGGTGACGGGGACTGTGTGTGTGGTCGCCATCAGGAGATGCTAAGGAGTTCATATTGGGGGAAAAAAGCTTTACTTGCTACGTGAATGCCTAATTGGAAAGTTGAGTGGATCTGAACTTTAACACTGCTGCTAATCCACAGTATACACACCACGCTGGTACCGTTTGGAAACACAGCATGTCTTATGTGTTCTTAATATCCAATTCTATCTTATCTGACCCCTGCATTTCTCAGCCTTGGCAGGCAACACTAAGAGACCTTTTCTTTCCTCCCTCAGTGAGTAAATGATTGTGTATTTGGGCTGTCTTTGGGATGGCGGTGTGTGTGTGAGTGTGGCTCGTGTGGGCATGGGTGTGCATGCACTCGTGTGTATGAGCCGAGGATGGGGTCAGTCTTCCCCTGGATATGCATGGTCTCAGGCTCTGGGTGAACCCCTTAATCTCTGCCTGGAGTAGCATCAGTCAGGAAGGGAGGCAAGCACATGGTTTGTGTCCCTTAGGCCATCTACCTGACTGCTCCAATTGAACTTCACTCAACCCTTTCATCTTGCCCACTCTTGTCCCATCCTTAAATCAAATGAAGGATCTTTTCAGTTTAGCTTCAAATGACCCTTCATGTTTCCAAGCCTAATTCCTTAACTGTTTGCTTGTCTGCTTTTGACTTTGTGTTCCTATCTGCCCTCTGTTCTCTGGATGGTGAAGGAACACCATCCTATTTGATTTTTAACACACCTCTCACTCTGAGTGTGGTATAGTGGGAAAAACAACGCAGAAAAAAAAAAAAAAACCCGCTACTGAATCAGAAGCCAGGAGCCGAGCTCTGCTGCTAATTAGCTCATAAGTGTGGGCAAATATCTCTGCCTCCCTCGGGCCCCAATTTCTTCCTCTGTTAAATGAGGGGATTGTATGAGTTGATTTGTAAGGTTCTCTCTGGCCCCTGCTTCTAAACCTTCCTTCACGTGACTTTTTGTGGCTTGAGCTGCCCTCTCAGGGTCCACTTTGCAACAGGGCGTTTTAGTTCCCTGCTGTCCCTTACAGCCTAAGTGCCTTTGCAGACGATTGCTGTGGGTTGTCTCTACACTTTGAATAGTGCCCAGAACACATGGAGAGAGCCCTATTCACAGGGCGAGTATACCTTGTTGCTGTGTTGGTTCAATAACAGTTCAAATTATTAATAACAAAGAGTAATGAATAACAACGCCTTAGTCCTTACATATTGTCTTTCGCCCAAAGATATCAAAGTGCAATTTATGAAAATCCATTTTTAATGAAATATTAAGCAGTTTCTATTTATCCTGACCCAATGGGTTTACAAGGTCTCTATTTTTCTCCCTGCATCTCCCCTATGTATAGCTAGTAAATGCTATCATATATTATACATCTTTATGACTTTCTCAATGCTTCTGTGGTTTTAGAATCACCCTTCATATGTTTTCTGATCATGATGGCTTCTGAGATGGCTCTGAGATGGCTTCTTGGCTTCCAGTCTAGGCATTGCAAGGTAAGGGGTTGTGTGCATGGGAAATGACGCCAGGAAATTGGTTTTATTCCCTATCCCCTGACGACTCACTGAATCACTACAGGCAAATCAATAAACCTTAGATACCTTGGTTTCTCCTTCAGAAAAATAAAGTCGATAACAGGCTTGCAGATAGACACTTATATTTACCGGCCCTCCCTCCAAAGCCTGCACAGCACCCAGGACAGATATTAGTGTGGAAGTCAAGTAACAAGTATTTGTCACAAGTAACAAATGGGTCTTTACAGAGGTAGGAGAGTTCAAGTTCTAAAAGCCACGACTACTCCCAAGTCCCACCTTGAGGTCAACAACTTACCAACCATAACTTTGCAGTGAGGTATCCACAACGCTGAGAAAACTCAGTGGATTGCCTTGTATATTATACTCAGAAAGGCATATATCAAACAGAATGATTGAATGTTAACATCTGCTTTCGAAGCTGGATGTCACAGAGGATATACATTTTAAATTTATTTTAATTAATTAATTTTTGAGAAGGAGTCTTGCCCTATTGCCCAGACTAGAGTGCAGTGGCACAATCTTGGCTCATGGCAACATCCGCCTCCCGGCTTCAAGCAATTCTCCTGTCTCAGCCTCCCGAATAGCTGAGATTATAGGCGCGTACCACCATGCCTGGCTAATTTTTGTATTTTTAGCAGAGACTAGGTTTCATCATGTTGGCCAGGCTGGTCTCAAACTCCTGAAATCAAATGATCCACCTGCCTCGGCCCCCCCAAATGCTGGGATTACAGGTGTGAGCCACAACACCTGGCCCATTTTTTATTAATTTTAAAAGAAAAATCTTAGTATGGTTGTTTACTACCCAAAAGAAAATCACAAGTGTGATCAAGGTGACCCCAGCTTTCTGACGATAGTGTGGATTATGTTGTAATTATTAAAAATATGTGTGAGTGCGTGTTTAAAAAGAAGCTATGTTGAACATAAAGATTTCTTCAAGTGCATCCCTGCAAACCAAGTTTAAAAAGCAATTCAGGGCACAAAGTGGTCTGGATAATCCATTTGGTGCCTCTCCGAATTCTGAATATAATCCAGCATTTTTCAATTGATTCTTGAGTCCTTTGGTTTCTTTTCAGTAGCACAGAACCTGAAAACCATCAGCATTTCCTGGATTTTCTGATTTGCACCTCTAGGGAACGGAGGACCTGCCAATTAAATCGGCTGCTATCCAACATCCCAGTTTGATTGTTATCTACAACCCCAGGAAAAGCAAATCAGTGCATTTTGACCATGCCTGTGAG